GGGTTGATTTTGTTGATCTATAATATGTTATGAATGAAATGAAGGGTAGCCTCGAGGTACGGTAAAGTTGTTACCTTGGCCGTCACTGGTTCTGAGTTGTGAAATCAGTCATTGCGTTTTGCGTACATAATACCCTTTGGGTGATTGTGTGATCCTTCTTGGGTCGGGCTGCCATTATTGAATGCGACTGATGAAATTTATGATGCAACAGTTTTCTAGGAGGAATATTAAGCAGTGTGACACAGACCTATGTTAACTTGCTAGGGTTTTTTCCTTTTCTTTACAAACATTAGTCATAAGGAGTATCTTCAGATATGTAAAACAGTCCTTTTCTCATGGCTAACAATTTTTAATCAGAGAGGTGACAGGTGAATAAGAGCTAAAGCACGTGCTTGGTTTTTTGGAGCTCGTGCTGGTTATGGTTTCTCTGAGGACTAATAAACATGACTTAAACTATTTTATGCGCATGCTTAAAGTTCTTGAAAAAAAAATGTTAATTGGAAACAAGTAAAAATATGAGACTGTAGAAGTGAAAGGCAGACTGGAGATAGTTTAACATTGAACCTTTTGGTATTAGTTTACTGCTTTCCACATTTTTATGGGATTTGTTAAATTTGGTTTTAAGTTTTTCTTTTCATCTTCCTCTTTCTTCCTTAGATGCATGCAATAGGAATCTTTTTCTCGATTTTAGATGTGGAAAATGAAACATTTATTTTGGGAGCTATGCCTTTTATTTCTGTGTCAATTCTTTGCCTCAGTTTTTTCTAACTGCATATTCCATAAGCAACAATAGTAATTTATAACTTTGTCGTATATTGTTGCAGGGCTTTCACTCAAATCGCAGGAGCTCACTGCTATGTTTTTGGCTGTTAGACTGTATTGCAGTTTTGTCATGGAATATGATATCCACACTTTACTTGATTTAGCTACATTGGCTACGACCTTGTGGGTTATTTATATGATCCGTTTTAAGCTTAAATCAAGTTACATGGAGGACAAAGACAATTTTTTAATCTATTACGTGGTAAGTCACAAACACCTTATGCATGCATACCTTTTCTCAATTTTCTTGTTAAGTTGTACTTAGTTGTGTCATTGGGGCTAGTTTCTAATTTGGCATCTTCCTCTCAAAGAAAGATACAATTCTCACCAGGAACTGCTAGAGTGCTAGTGTTGAAAACTCCAGTTTTACAGATATAAACAAAGAAAGATCTCGACAAATAACAAGTTTTTGATGTGGATAAAATCTGACATACAACTTACTCATCCAGTCATGCAATTCAAAAGTATAAGTTTAGTATGCACAACTAACAGTATCATGCTCTTGGTCTGATCACCTGCCATGCTATTTCCAAAAAATGATTTAGTGTCTTTTGTTTTCGCCATACAAAAGTAGATTCTGGTTCACTCTACAACAACAACAACAACAACAACCCAGTGTAATCCCACAAGTGGGGTCTGGGGAGGGTANACTTTCTGGTTCACTCTGATGTTCGATTTTTATTTTTTTATTTTTTTTTATTTTTTTTAATTAAGAAGTCGCTGGCGATTTTTGCACTACTTTGTCATATTTAGCAATTAGCTCATTATATGAAAATGATATTAAGTTATAGATGCAAGGTTATTTTGCTCTGAATATTTTATTCTACTCACTCCTCTGCACTGTTTTTCGATATGAATTGGTTGCTGGAAAACGACAGGATAGTTATTGAAAACTGTAGAATGCCAAAGTCTAAAAGGATTACCAGGACGTGGGCACTGTCTCTTTTATGCTATTCTCCTTGTACATGTACTGTCCCAACTCTCAAGTAATGAAGGATAACATTTAGATGTGTCTTTAAACTTTCTGACAAATCAAAGGTTGACGTTTTAAGAGTTGTTTGACCCACTTTCTATTTTATCAGAAAAATGTGTAAGTATTAACTTTTACATATTTTGAGTTTAGTAATATTTGGCACTCTTTCTGTCTATTCAAAATTAATGTAATTTATAGGAATCCACTATTGTTATAATAACAAAGCTATACTATGTTTTCATCTAAACACTCCGGGATATAATAAAAAGATTTTGCTCATTTTAACATCATAATTGCATATAGTGTGGATCCGACGATATTTTCATATCAGATGTGATTAATTTCAACATAATGTGCATTCACTCTCAATATATTTGACATATATGAAGCAAAGAACTAGCTCACATTAGGTCCTTGCTTAGGCAAGATACACTTAAGCATGAATATATGTCAAAACTTATTTGTATTAAGTTATCCGGATCGGTATCTTTTAGGGGTCTTAAGATAATGAAAATTGTTCAACTAATTTGATTAGACGTGAAGATTAGAGGAAAAAAGAATTTTATTGTATCTATTGGAAGAAAAAAAGAAATATGAACTCTGTTGTCTTATTATCATATTTAATGTCAAATTTGTACTTAAAATGGTTCTCAGTGTTTGGAATTCGTGTGAAGAAACAATCTATTGAAATATTTTAGTCAATTGGGTGTATCTCAAGTTACAGATAGCATAGCCCCCTCCTAGTAACCTCTGCTCCCACAACAGAAGAAGGTAAAGGCAAAAATGAACGGGCTGATCATCTTCTTATAACTTCTCCTTCTATTCTATTTATTTATTACTTTCAGTACGGCAATTAAAATTCAGTAATAAAGCACCTTTGTTAGTAATATAAGAGTAACCAAAAGTTCAAAACACAGTTCTTCCTTCAGGAGCCTAAGAACTAAAACACATTCAGTTGTTACCAGCTGCAGTGCTCTATTTACTATCTAATTTAGTCATCCACTTCATAAATTTATTAATCTTATGTCTCTTTTGATAGATGAAAGCTAAAGGGTTTATTGAACTCACACTCAAACCTCAACTGCTATCCAATGTTGATATTTGATACCAGCATATCTTCTAATCTCCCTGCCCCATTTTTATGGTATTCTTCTATTTATTGAAGTTTCGACACTATTCCACCAAAAATCTTATTTTATATACAACTTTTGTAATTTATAAGATTCAGACTTCAAACTTTGATGCCATGTTTTTCAAATAATAATTTTTCTTCCACTATTACTTGTATAACACACAAGTCAAATTTGAAAGCTATTCAGTGTCCAATCAAATGGTGTAAAATAAAGTGGCATTGAGGGAGTACAACCTATTTTCTAGTAAGCATTTCGAAGTAGTAATTTATTCATGGATTATTTTGTCAGCTTAGCAATGCCATGTTAGTGAAGTGACCATAGACTTCTATCTTGCGATGGCTATAGAAGCTACCCTTCAGACCAATATATCTCTGGCATTGGGTATTATGAATCGTTTTGCAAATAATTTTCTGCGGACTCTGAGAGGAGTCTGTGTGGCTTTCAGTTTTATCTTCATTTCAAGATTGTAAATTGTCTGATAATATTCATTCAAGCACTGGTTTCATTACGTCTCCTTGTTTTTGTATTAATTTTGTTTGCACGACTCTTGTAATGCCACTCTCTGCAGAGTTTTTTCTATTTTCTTTTGAGAAGAACACATATATCCTTTTTTTTTTTCAATTTTCTTCAGGTGATCCCTTGTGCTGCATTAGCTTTATTAATTCATCCATCTACATCACATCTCTTCGTTAATAGAGTCTTCTGGGCTTTCTNTTATTTGGATATCAAAACTTGTCAGATAACTTTATTTGAATGTCATTCATATTTCCTGGATGGAGCTGCATTTTATGATTTTACCCAGCATGGTTTGCTCTGAAGAAAATTAACTAGCTGATATGATACTCTAATTTTATATATATATTTTAAATTAACTGCCTAATTGGCTTAGCTTAGGGGTACTGTATGGAACATCTTTAGTTAAGCAGGCATCGAATTGCATTATTGTCATACCGAGTACTCACTATTTGTGTGGAATTCATTAAGAATGTTCAATTATTTTTCAATTGGTTGATCAAGATGTTTGATGTATGATAATTTGTCAATGCGGGAATATGTATTGGTTGGTCATATATTCACATGGTAGGATCTTGTTGGCATTATAAACTTTGCTATTACTATTTAAGGAGTATTTAAGTTCTCTTATAGCCTGTTTGGCCAAGCTGGAGAAATCAGCTTATTTTGAGAAGTGCTTTTGAAAAAAGTATTTTTTGAGAGAATCAGTTTGTGTTTGGCTAATCACTCTGAAAAGCACTTTTGAGAAATAATTTGTGTTTGGCCAAGCTTTTTAGAAAGTGTTTTTAAGTGTCAAATTACGAATAAGGACATGAATAGATTTACTTAATAATTAATATTATAAGTAAATAAATAATATCAAAATTTTGTTATTACATGCAATAATTAAAAAAATAATTCATTTTATTTAAGTAAAATATGAAAATAAAATTAAAAAGTACTTAATTCTTTTAATATAAGTTAAATATATTAAAATTCCTTCAACAAATATAAAAGCATTCACCCCTAAAGTCACTATATATTAGAAAGTTTCCTAAAATAAGAAGAAATATTTATAAATTAATATCCTAAGTATTAGGTTTAAGAGTTATTTTGGTATATATTATATTTTGTTAAGGGTATTTTAGGTAAGAAGAAAAGCCAAAACTGTTTCTGTTTCTTTTTGTAAAGAAGCTACTTTTTTCTGCTTCTCTGAAACTTCCCAAAAGCACTTTTTTCCCAAATAAGTTTGGCCAAACATCTCAAATTAGGAAAAAAAGTGCTTTTGGAAAAAAAAAGCACTTTTTTTGTCTTGAGAAGCTTGGCCAAACAGGCTATTAGTCTCACAGATTCATTTGTACACCCATGCTATACAGCTGTGATAACCTTCTGATTTCTTCTTGGCTTTGTGTCAGGTCTTGGACAGTCGCGGTCATCTGCTGGTTGCATTGGGTCATGGTCTATGGCCTTCAATGGTTCTTATATCCGAAATTGTTCAAACCTTTATCTTAGCAGACTTCTGTTACTACTATGTTAAAAGGTTGAAAATGCTCTGCATGTCAATTTGTTTCTTATCCTCTGGATTTCCTCCTTATTTGCTTTTCACAAAGCTGTATTGACTATAACATCTCGCACATTTTAAATTTATTGCAGTGTTTTCGGTGGACAGCTGGTCATGCGCCTTCCTTCTGGAGTAGTGTAACTGATGATTGTGCTAGTCATGGACAGAAATTTCACATACGTTTGTTGCCTCCTTTTGCTTATCTTTGGTCTCTCTACTAGGTCAAAATCTGGTCTAGGGCTCTCCAGGCGTAAAATCAAGAGTGCGGTGGTCTGTGAAGTTAGTATTATCTAAAATATTTTCTGGTAATCCTAGATTATACTTTACTTTTTTAGCAGTTAGCATTGTCCTAAAATTAAGCAGTTGATTTTCTCTCAATGCTAGATTACTTTACTTTGTTAGCACAGTTAGCACTAACATCATATGGCTTTCAGATATGTACTCATTTTTGTACTTATGTACCACAATGAATGATTAATGATTCTGATTCCGACACAATTGTCTCTGCTTGTTGGACAACTGGATGTACCCCACCCCTCCTCCCTTTCCCTTTCCGGATGGTCGTATTGCAAGGGGCTAAGAGTTTGTACCTTCCAGTCATGGAGGCTTTCATTTGTACGAACTCGTGACACAATTTTTCTGAATGGATATGCAACAATGGATCTACCACTCACTCCACCACAAAGATAATGTAACTTTCATTTCTATTGGCCCCTCAGGCAATCATCTGCTTTTGTTGAAAATGAGAGGTATATCTGCTTTTAGGTCTTCTGGATTCTTGGTCCTTTATTTTTGTTTTTTTTCCTGTTTTGATGAGTTGGTCTCCCCATGCTTCAATTATTTCACCGGTTATTTGTTATTTCCACCAGCACAGTAATTCTGCTTATTATGGCTAAAGGCATGTGAGAATAAATCACTGTCTTTGTTTGTAACTTTGGTTTCGCACAGTTTTCCACATTTCATTGACTGCTAGGCGGGCCTCGCACTTCATTTTATTGTAAACGTTCGGGAGTGTTTGGTTGGTATTTTTAGCATATCAGAAGTTTGAAATAATCCTTTTTTGTTTAAAATTTCCAGCTGTCTCTCTTGAAATATATCTTGTCCTTCTTTGTTTAAAATAATCCTTGAGGTGGAACAATTGGGTTCCTCTCACTGGTCACTTGATTCAAGGTTAAGTTTGGTATTCCCACCATTGCATTTGCACGGTCAGAGTCAGAATTTGAAGTTTATGGGGGTTCGGGAATCTAATTTGTTTAAGTTATAGGTTCTAAATTAATAAATTATATATATTCGATGAATTTTTTGAAGACAATACATGGCTTGAATAAAAGCTATTGGGTTTGACCGAACCAGTATGTTCTGCTCTAGCTCCGCCCTGGCCACGGTGCCTGCTTCTATGAACTGATAGTGTACACTTTGATACCATCGTCTAAGAAAAGTCATTGAAACAATTCTCGACTTAAATACACTATAGTAAGTATTTTCAATGAACTTGTTAGAATATCTAATAACAATCTTTCACTTAAATAATACTAAAGTAAAATGATGAACTTGTGAAGTTTCTTGAAATAATTGTAATCAGCTTCCCCGTTGGTGAAATGCCAAAAATAAAACAAACTGTTGTTTTACCACTCGTGGGCTAACACTTGAGTCAATTTCAAGTATTTTCCGAATATTCTTAAGTTTGTGCATGATTTTTTTTAACACGATAAGTATGTGCATGATTTGAAGATGAAAGTGATAGGAGTATTATTGACGTAAAAATCTCTTTCATTAATTTTTGTCTTTTTTTACTTTTTTGTTGCCTTCCAATGTTCTTATTAATCGTGCGTCTAGAAAGTTTCCAAGTGTCCAACATGTTTTTTTTTTTTTTACAAATCCAAGAGCTAAGATTTAAATATAATTTTTTGTGGTAATCCTTTTGGAAAAAGAGAGTTCCAGAATACAAATAGCTGTAGTGCAACAAGATGCTAGCTGTTGTCTTAACTCATTCAATAGTAATCACATTACACAACAAAAAAGGAAGTAGCATTCATGGTAGTAGTTGTTATAAGATGTTAACTTTTGACTTCCAAATCATGCTCTTATCTTTCCATTATGTATCTTTACAAGTTTTTTTAATTAATGGCCCAAACTCCTAAATATGATTATTTGATGCTTTGCTCAACTTCAACTACTGGTCCAAACGCGTTTTCTTAAAAAACAAGAACTTCTTTTGTGGGATCATATAGCTTTATTATTGGTGTTCTAATTAAGGATTAAGATGGATTCCCTATTTCGGTAATGAGGAGATTGATTGAACTTTAAACTGCACCTTACTTATTTGTCACTCTACTTGTTTTTTTATCTGTGTTAAATATAAAGGGAAACTTGACGTAATTGGTAAAGTTGTTACCATGTGACATGGAAGTTACGGGTTCAAGCCGTAGAAACAATCTCTTGCAGAATGCAGGATAAGGCTGCATACGATAGATCCTTATGGTCCGACCCTTTCCCTAACTCCGTGCATTGGACTACTTTTTTTTTTTTTTTNGGTTTTAACACATTCATTAGATTCACTTATCCATTTATTAACTAGAACTGAGTTCTCTCAAGTTCAGCTAGAAGTATCCCTCCCGGAGGATTTAGAGGCGGAGTCAGAATTTTAACCTCATAATTTTTAAATTATACAATAACAACTTCAATTGTTAATAACTGAGTTCTAAATTTAATATTTGTATATATTTATTGAACTTTTTAACACAAATAAATTTTTTGAGCAAAAGTTATTGGTTCGTTCGAACCTGTAGTCAGGCTACTAGTTCCGCCCTTGGAAGGATTGGATAAATAATTGACTCCTAATATTACCTTTATCTGGAATTATGTATACGTTGCTGATATTTTTAAGAAAACATATACTTTTTGTAAATTCGTACTTATTATCACAAAAGAGTGTCATATACTATATTATTTGCGGTTATTCGTAAGAATCTTGAGTTCTTTAATTTTCTGGCAACGGATAATATAATTAAATAGAACTCAACTTGTTTTAATTAATTCATGTAATGAAACGTCTGAGACTTTATATGTTAGCTTTGTCCACCTACTACTGCAATTATACACACTTTGGGAAGTGTACTAATAATTCCAGACTCTCTCACCAGGCTGTTAAATTTTATTTCCTCGAAACAGTTTGTCATTTTATTTTATTTTTCAAATATACTCTTATTGTTCCAATTAGTAAGTAGCGTGTTAATTAAATGAGATATTTAAAAAGAGATGAAAAATAGTCTAGAGACAAATATTTTTATGATTAAAGTTATTAAATATAATTAATAAAGGGTTTGCAAAAAATTTCAAAGACCGGGGAGCAATTATATTCCTCCTCTATTTAATTAGTATACTAAAGCGTAGTTACCTACTACAATTAAGCTTTACGTACCTAAATTATTCGCATGCATGCTATTCCTCCACGTAGGGGTGGGCATAGATTGGACAAACCCGAAATCCAAACCAAAATTAGAATTTTTTGGATTTTTGGTTTCGATTTTCGGATTACGGATTAGATTTTGAATTTAATTTTTAAAATTTTTAGATTTCGGATTGGATATTGGATTTGGTGCTTCGGCTTTTTAGATATCTGAAAATCCAAAAATTTTATACTTTATATTTAGTCCTTTATCCATATGCTAATAATAATAAGTTCAATACCCTACCTATTATATATTATTCCATATATTCAATATTAATTACTAAGTTACTATCAGAATATTTTCTATTTGAACATAGTTTTACTATTGCTACTTTTTATCGGTCAAATTAATGTCTCTATTGCATTTCCTTGACAATAATTTCATTACTTGAATACTTTATTTGGATGATTACGGTGAGAATGAGGAACTTTTCAGGTAATTTAACATGAGTACTTCATTTGGATATTTATTTTTATCAAAAGAAGAAATATCTCAACTTATAAGGTCAAATCCGAAAATCCAAAATATGCAAATCTGATTAATCTGAAACCTAAATTAATAAATCCGATTCAATCTGAGCTTAATTGGATTAGATTTGAATTGTCATTTCTTCAATCCAAAAATCAAAAATTCAAACCGAAATTTTTATATCCAATCCGAAATGCTCGAACACCCACACCGAGCTCCGCGTACTTGCCTTTATTCCTTTTGCTTTAATTTATAATTATTTTGGTGTTTCTATTCTATTTGTCCTCAGATGAACCTACACACTTCTACTTGCCTATAAATATCCCATTGGTCTTCCTTCTCATCAAATCACACTAAAATATTAAGCTTTAAACAAATATCCATTACTTCCAATGGCGATTTCTAAAACTCTCTTTGTTTCATTAGTTCTCTGCTTGCTCCTCCTCGATGAAGTCCAATCCATTCAAACTGATCAAGTAGTAAGTATTTTTATCAAAACCTAATAATATCATATTTTGTTGATTTTCTATATTACGGGATAATTTAATAATCAAGAGGTCACAATTCGAATTGCAGTTTCATGAAGTCAAATTTCATCGACCTACACTATTTTATCCATATGAAAATACTAAATTTTTCTTGCTACGTAAGTAACTAAGTCTTACTTTCATAATTTCAAGTTTCATTCAGCTGATCAGGGGCGTATGTAGCGTATAGGTGACAGGTTCAACTGAACCCATAACTTTTAATGCGGAACAAAAATTTATGTGTAAAATCTACTATAATTTCAATAAATAATATATTTGAACTTATAACTTTAAAAATATAACGAGTTCAATGCTAAAGATCTTAAAAGCTGAACTCATAGGATTTAAATCTGGAATCCCGCTGACGATGTTTTTATTTTTGCAGACTAGCAATGCCATTTCTGAAGCCGCTTATTCCTACCCGAAAATTGGTATGCTATCCTTTATAACTTTAATTACTCTCTGATGTCATACAACATTTTGTCACCTTCTTTATACACACATGTTTTTTTTTGTTTTGTCGTGTATGTTCTGTCCTGTTTCTATTGGCTTTGTTAATTACCTATTGAAAAACCAAACTGTTCAAAGTTACATAAAACTGACAAAAGAAACTTTTTGTTTTATTTAATTCTGTAAAAGAATTTATCTTTTATTCATTGATCATGTGTAAATAAATTTCTTTTTACACTCTTAAAGCATGTAACCGGTTTTTAGCATGTCACTCGCCATCTTTTTCAAGTTACTATCTCAGACTTGATTATGCAAATATCGTATACCATCGTGTATTAATTTTTCTTCTTTTAATATATAAACCATTCTATCTTGTTTTGTTATAAGAAAGGATTCAACTTATACACATTAACAATGTATATTTTTGTACTTTCCGTTTTAAACCGGCTATAGTATGTTATTTGCATGTTATTGGATATCTTTACACCAAACAGCCGACTACAATCATTATTTACTTTTTTTCTAATAATATACATAGATTATATAACGAGTATACACAATTATACACATATAATACATAAATTATGCATATATTATACCT